AAAGAGAATTTATTTTTAACTTATTATTAATATTTTTTTTATATTTTAAAAAATCAGAAAGTTACCAGAAATTTCCAAGGACTTCTTGTGAAAAGTTAATAAACATTAATATTTCAACATAGATTTTTTTCCATATTTGATTTTTTTCCCACTTACAAGAAATAAAACACATCAGATAATGTTGATTATCTAAGCCCCTATGGATTAGGTAAATGGATTGTTAAAATAAACCCTTGTACTATTTTTTTGATTTAAAAATATCAAAACTATAAAACTCATAGGAAGAAGTTTAGCAGTAAATCCTCACAACTTTAAGTTAGGCACACATTTCTTAGACACAATAGCAAAAGCACACACTGTAAAAGAGAGTATTTCATCAAGAAACTGGACTTCAGCAACATTAAGAACTTTTGTAATTCAAAGCCACCATTAAGAAAGTAAAAAGTCAGGTTATATTCTGAGAGAGAAATACTTTTAAATCATGCATCCAATAAAGGATTTGTACCTGGAATTAAAAAAAAAACTTTTAGAGCTCAATAAGACAAATAATCCAGTTTAAAAATAAGCAAAATATTTATAGCCATTTCACCAAGGAAAGTACAGGAGTGGCCAATAAGCACATTCAAAGAAGCTCACTGTCATTAGTTATTCGGAAAGCACATGTCAAATTAAGGAGATTCTACACACATCCACAAGAATGGCCTTAGTCCAAAGCCCATCAATAACAAGTGTCAGTGAGGATGTGACGGAGCTGCCGCCTTTGCACTTCCTGGTGGGAAGGTAAAACTGCCACTTTGGAAAACAATTTGGCAGTTTCTTCAAATGTTAAACACATGTATACCATATGAGGCAGGAGTTCCACTCCTAGGTACCTACACGAGAAACCAAAACTCACTTTCATAAAAAGATTTGCCCACTGAAGTTCGCAGCAACATTATTTCATGGTAACTAAGAAATGGAAACAACATAAATGTCCATTAGCTGGTGAATGGAAAAAGAAAAGGTTCCATATTAGAATACAATTGCCACTTTGCTCACTTTTATTTAAATATTTCTAAACAATCCTTTCCTAGGTTCAAAATAGCTCTATGCTTAGCTCGTGCCCCAGCTCCAAACATTAATTAGTCCAGTTGCATAAAATCTGTAGCCACTTAAAATGTTCACAAGTTTTCCCACAGTGAAAATGATTTTTTAATGGAAACCTTGTATATAATTCATTTCCAACTCTAATTAGATTTATCTGGGGAAAACACCATTGGCTAAATGATGTAACTAGTACTAGCTAAACAAAATGTTAATATGCTCTAAGTGATGGAATACTGTTATATCTAAAAAACATAACCAACATTAATAAGAAACTAGAAAACTGTAATTTTGGTAGTTATTAACAAATTACACATTTTGTTCTATTTATAAACAGATATTTTGTTCACAGGGACAACAGCCGATATCTTCAAACTTGTCGTAAAGCAAATTCTACTGCACAGCAATTCCATCTTTCCTTTGCTGGATATATAAACAAAAACCATTATGTTCACAACTGAGTAATGAAAGTCTTGAGCATTAAGCAGATTACACAGTCAGCTCTCATTTATGAGTTATGATTTAATGTGGTCATTATATCAACTGTGAATGGGTAACACACAGCATCCTGTAGCTCGGCACTCCATTTTATCTAATATTATAGTAGCTATAATTATTCTGAAATGTGCTACGCGAATCAAAGCCATAGTGCTCACTCAGGGTTTGGACTAGCACTTCAGGAGACGGAGATCCCTTACAACTGGCTGGAAGAGGACAAAGGAAGACAGGAAAGCTTTTAAGGAGCTTAAAGAAAAAAAGCAAAAGGCGGGACTGGGGGTGTCAGCCAATCGTTCTCGAGGAGCTCCTGTGCCCCAAGTGGAACACGGAAGGGCTGCTGGTGGTCTCCTTCACTGACTCGACAGACTCCCACCGACTCGACAGACTCCCACCGACTCGACAGACTCCAGCGGAGACGCTGCTCCCACTTGCAGAGATACACCATGTCCTACTCCTAAGAAGCCACTTAGGGGGCAGGCTGACACTTTCTCATCCATCAGAGGAGGACAAAACAGGAGAACCAAAGGCACAAAGGTTTTTTATGGATATTAAAAGGAAGGATGGGGATTCAGAATAAGCTCACACACCTGAACTCAGAAACACTTGAAATCCTGTACCAGAGAAATGACACATCCCTTACAGTGGCCAAAACATAACATGATCTCAACAGCCAGCATAGGATACACATAAGAGTTAAATGGGAAAGTGCTTATATTTTCAGGCTTAATCTACTTTCTAAATAATTTTTAACTAAAAACTAATCTTTATGCAGTGGGAGTTTTCAACTGCACTTTATTAAACATTCCCCAGACACTCGCTATATGACAATCACCCTACGGAGAGTATGAAGGAAAAGGACATGCCTCCAGCTACCACACAATGCCAAACCGTACCACACAAGTGCCAACACAGTGACCTGTGAGCGTGTGGGGACAGAGGACGAGGACAGGCAGAGGATTCAGGAAACACTCCACAAAGACAATGATTCTTCAGATGGGGCAAGAGGTATGAGCAGAGCATGGGATACAAAGGGCAGTTAAAAAACTAACTCAACATCGCCAAAGGTGTGGAAAAGCCTACTCAGAGGATCGTGCTAAGTTCAGCAAGACTGGCACACAGTACACACATGCCTGGAAGACACGAGGTGAGGCTGGAGCCGGGGACATGGCTGGACAAGTGGGGAAGTATCAGAGGTTCAAAAGACACAAAACTTGGGATAAAGAAGATCTCATTAAAAGTAGATCTTTAACTGGCCCTTGAAAGATAGTAAGTTTGCCAATTCCTCTTTATAGAACACTTAGTAACTGCTGGCCAATGTAGGAACTGCCCTGAACCCCATGGAGACAACACCACAGAATTTCACGGGCTTTCATATCCAGTGAGAAAATCCAAAAAGTAACTAATTGGTACAAGTCCAAACACACCAAAGGACAAATGTCCCCACACCACTGCAGGCCCCTAGAAAATGCGCTGGCACCTACCCAGAGGGAGCCCAAGAAAAAAAGTCCACTGTATGCTACACTGAACAGGAGACAACAACCTCCACTGAGGGTCTGACCTTCTAGAACAGGGATGCTCAATTCTGGTAAGCCAGTGACCTCATATGGCTATTTAAATTTAACTGAATTAAAATTAAATTTAAAAATTCATCCCTTAGTTACACAGCCATTCAGTGCAATGAATAGCTAGATGTGACGAGTGGCTACCATTCCGGGCAGTAGAGATACAGGGCATCTCCCTGACGACAGAACATTCAACAGCTCAGTGCTGGGCTGGAGTCACTATTACAGAAGGAATAGGAGACAACTGCCTTAAGAGCAGAACAATCACATTACAGACAACTCTGAGATCCTCAGATCACTTAGTACTGAATACTGTATATTCAGTACATGTTTGTCAAACTGATACAGGAGAAAGACTTATGGAAATGAGATAGCTAAATATATTCTGTGGGGCAAAAGTTAAATATCTTTGCCCTAACTCCATCAATAGATTCCACCATGGAAGCTTTGAATCAGACTTCTAAAAGTAATTAGACAGTAGACAACTACAAATGAATGTAGAAAAAACAGATACAGCAAATTAAAAAAGAAAAAAAAAGATTAGATACAGCTCCCCACAACAGATATGTTCCAAATAGTTACTAGAAAAATGAGCGACATTTCACACTTTGAAAGTGAAGTTTACTGTTGAAAAGAATCCTATGGAAAACCAATCCGTAAAGATTATCATCTCTTAAATTATCTAATTAAAATATAAAAAACTGAGCTACTTTCTTTAATCTAAAATAATGACAATTTTATGTTACTAGAAACAGTCATGAAGGATTATATTCCATAGAGCAAACACTGACCAACACAAGAGAGCTGTCAGGTACACATACTACTACTTTTCTCTCCAGGATGACCTACCATGAGACACATACCTACTTAATGGTTCACTTTTATTCATAAGAATCTTAATAAGTAAATGGAAAAAGATAAAAAGCCAATAAGGAAATAGGCAAGAGAACGAACAGGTAGCTCACAAGAAAGGATCTCTCCTAGGATAATTCCATCTCATTAGTAATCAGAAAAATGCAAATCAGAATCCCAAATAAACATCACTAAACACTTAAAAATGCCAAGGTGCTGGAGTAAAGTAAATGGCCATCCCAAACACAGCTGATAAGGGTGCAATCAGGAAAACCACTCTGGAAAATCATTTGGATTATCAACTGAGGAGGAACATATACTTTTCTGCTAGCTCACACTTCCAGGACTAGGCATGTGGGCATCACAGAGAAAGGTATGCATGTGTGCATTAAAGACACGTACAAAATGATGATGCATTATTTTTAGTAGCCAAAACTGAAAAGAAACCAATGCCAATCAACAGCAGAATGGATAAACTGTAATGCATGCACACTGCAATTAATTTCCACATAGCAATAACAATGAGAAAACTACACTACATGTAATAGCATGGATGAATCTCATAAACATAATGTGAAGCGTAACTATTTCCATAAAGTACAAAAACAGGTAAAATGAAACTACCGTGTTGGAAGGGATGTGATAGTTATCAGAATTATTTAAAACAACAAAAACACTAAATCTGATATGAGGATAAGAAAGGAGAGTGGTGATCTCTGGAAAGACAGAGAAGCATTAGAAGTTACTGGGCACGGTTGTCAAGGATTGGTGGAAGGGTGGTCATGTGCTATTTCTTTACCTGCATGGTTGATATCTGTGTGGTTATTGTGTGATAATTTATTGAGGTGGATATTTTTGTATTGTGTATTTTTATATATAAATGTTAATTTCACAAAGAGGTTGAAAAGAAAGAGTTCCATATACACACCTCACACACAACGTCAGGCGGCCCATTTCATTCCTTAGAGAGCCACCTTTCAAATTCTCCCCCCACCGCTAACTTACCTCGTGTAGTGCTTTACTAATTAACGGTGAAACACTGATACTCTCCCCTCCTTCTGGATGCATCTGGAAATTCACTCTTTGATACAGAATCTGAAAAAGTAACATGATACATTATCAAGGATTTATGCTTATAAATTTTCCTCTCTTCACAGTGAAGTCTGGACATTTAAAAAGTATACTTTTGAGGAAAAAAGTTGCTATTTCATAATGAATAGTTTTTGGTAACAGGCTTACTTTAGGACTTCATGGATACAACAAGGATAAAACATTTTCAGAAGTGGGAACTGACCTGTGAAAAACCTGATGTACAATGTAATGAATGACTATGACATGAAAATGTGAATTTCACAATCTCTTCCTATCCTAACAGGGTTTTGCAGCAAAAGCACTATCTTCCCTCATGCTGACCTATACTGTGAATTTTAGGAAACTGAGCATCACCCCAACCAAAGCCCAATCGCTTGCTGCTTCCAAAGGACCTCTAAGGATTGTGTCATCAATGATTTCAACTGATACGGTTGTAAGTATATTCTACTTGACCTTTTCTTATATGTTTTATTTTTGACAATACTAAACTTTCTCTCTTATATTCAGTAATCTGTTTCCTGATATTACTGTTTTTCCCATATCCACCTTGTACCATTTCTTCCATACTGTAAGTAAAGCCACTATTTTATATCTTAATAGCTTCAGATTCTTTTTAAGAGACAAGCTATTTTCCTTTCAAAGTATCCTATTATTAAAAGACAAAAGACCACAAATCTCAGATCCATACACCCAACAAAGTGCACTTCATACAGTTCAGTATTTACTTTATTGGGAGTACTTACTTCTGTCTGCAGAGAGCTGCTAGCTGCCAAAAGAGGTTCAATGCTGCTAGGGGGGCAATGGGTCAAAGCAAAAGCCATGAGCTCTTGCCGAGTGGCCAAGTCCCCATAACTTTCCGATTGTCCTAACTGGCTACAAACATCCCAACTTTTCGAATAACCTGCAAAATAGGCAAGAGAAAACAAACTGATTTTCACAAGAAGAAAAATCTCCACTCTAACATGAGAAATTCAATGGTTTTCTGCTCAGTCTTGTGTTCCAAAGCAAAGTCATAGTCACTGGTGATGCATAGTTTTACACAAGCAGAAACACATAAGGATCTAAGGTAGAAAAGATTTATTAGGCTGGTCTGTTATCCAAGAAGTTCAGCACTACTGTAGACGTTCTGATAAACTGCTTTATTTTAGATTCCCTGACAATGACTACAAGTAATCCCCTGAGCTTTGATGTGGAGTAAAAAGCTAGATTCGGAATTCAAAGACTTGAGGGTGTGGCCTAACCCCTTTTTGGCATGTATGAGTCTCGGGGAGTTGCAAGTATCACACTTCCTTTACTATTTCAAAGGAACAATAATAATGATGCCTTCTTCATTGGGTTGTTGAAAGGATTACAAAACATTTGTATTTAAAAACACTTTGTAAATTGCAAATGCCTAGAAAAAAGAATGACAGATGGCTGCACAGAATCATTCATTTCATAGAAGACACTGAAGGACAGTGCCAAGAACACAGTCAGCCCCTGACTCCCAGCAGACATCATTTTCTCCACACAATTTTATGCTATGAATTCTTCTACACTTGTATTCTTATTTGAAGGAGTTCCAGTTTGAAAGTAGGGTTTTGGTTTTCCTTAAATAGAAAGGTTTCAACCCAGAGTAATTTCTCTAAATATATAAAATAAAAATTAATCCAGATGCCACTCTTACAGGATAAAATTATTACAAAGCTCTTTAAGAAAACTATTTCAGAGTAATGTGACATTTTTTTCCAGAAAAACATAATTATTCTGAACTTAGTGTTATAGTATGAAACACAGCTTTTATGAAACGAATTTTATAATGCTGAGATTATAAATCATTGAATTTGTGCCCAGTTTTGAACATTTGCATAGAGGTACTAACAGATTCTCTCCCTGACCAAACCTCAGTCAGGCAGCTCTGCAGCCTATTTCTGGCAGGCCTACACCTCGGCTTGTCCTTGCTGAGCCCATACAGCCATTTTACCAATAATCCTGCTAAGTCAGGTGGCAGAGAACATCCCACACTTGATAACTGGTCATTCTTGACATCTGATCAAATTCCTCATCCCTCACTCTTGATACACAATCACCCTGTCCTGCCTTCAGCAAGAATCCTGTCGTTTTAGCAGGAATCCCACCAACTGCCATGTCTCATTGTAGTAATCTTCCACCCACTGACCCCTCTTCTCTGCTCCTTGGCTATCAATCCCCAGCTGTCCTTTATTTGGAACTGAGCCCTGTCTCTCTCCCCCTACTGCTTTAACATACATTACATATATGTTAAACATATAGTTTTAACATACATTACAAAAATCCCAAATAAAGTCATCATTACTGTTTTTAATGAGTCTCAAAATAGTATTTTCTTCAACAGTACACATGTAATAAGGATGAAAACCCAAAGTACACAGCTCTCTGAGCTGTCATGAAGTGAAGCACTGCATTTTTAATCACTCATTATGAATGCAGACAGTGGGTAAAAAGATGTACTTGGGCAGTGGGTACAAAGTAATAATTGGGCACAGCTACAAGAAGATGATTTAGTGCAGAGAGCCCGTGATAAGACTGCATCGCTTCCTACCCTACTGGAGAATGTGCTCTTTAATAAAAAGATTATTCCACAAAAAAATCTGAATTCAGAGACCTGAATTTGAACTTCAATATGAGAAATTCCCAGGTTACAAACTACTTCCCAATTTCTCAACATTATTTTGAAAATCATGTTATCCTTCAAAAAAAAATTAAATAGAAATATTTACTGTATAGTCACAAATTACAGATACACTAAAAAATTTAAATTTTCTTTTCTATAAATAATACCTCAAAAGGCATTAAAACAATAGGGAAAGGAAAACAACCAAAATCTCGGACAAAATATGAGTCCTGAGCCATTAAAGTATTTATATTAATATGTAAGCACATGGCATACTCACTCATCAGTGTTCACAATATGTTTCCCAAGTCTTATGAGCAAAATGTGGCTGGCTTACCAATCAGGCCAATTGATTTCAGAAAAGCCCTTTTCCATTATTCATCATGTAAAAAGGACATGAGCAAAGTGGTAAGTAAGCAGTCTACTTCACCTGTGGCCATCAGCTCCTGACAATGGGCACTGGCTGCTTTGTAGTCATGGCAACGAAGTGCTTGCTCAACTAGAAGGATGAGAACCTGTCCACGCCTTTCTTCTGCATCTTCACCTGTGAGCACAAGCAAATGACTTGATAATGGCAGCATCAGCTGATAAAAGACCTCATTAACACTGTCTTCTGAATTAATTCAAAAATTAAAAGTAGCGAATAAGCTTATTTTTAAAAGATTATAGACAAAAGGTCACAGCAACTTTGACTTTCCAATCTATTTGTTAATCCTGGAATTAGCTCTCAGTTTCCTAAGAAACCAGTGATTAGTATTAGCCCCAGGGCAACCATTCCAACCTAAGCAGAGAGGGAAAATTTTAAGCTTTTTGCTATTTCTTTTTTTGTAGTTTGCCCTTTAATGTTCTGTTTCTAATTATAATAAATAAAATTATAAGGGGGGGGGAACTTAAACAGAAAGTACAATGAATATAGTTTGCTGATGGTATTTATCTTATTATAATGTCTACATTGTAAGAACACATTAAAATACAGTTTATGTTAACACAAAGACCTTATTTCCCAAGAAAGTTCTTAGCTGTCTGTCTTGTCGATGGGTTTCACCTCCGGGCAAGTTCACCATGGATTCAATGTGACCATAGAACATTTTTGAGGTAAAAGGGTTATACCCACCTTTATTCCCACGGTGGCAGGTCCATCACTAAAATCCCGTTCACTAAGAACCAGTCTGCATGGGCAAGCCGGTCTCTGCCTCTGGGCCTCTCTACCCCTGCAGCCATCCCAGTCTCTGTCCTTGGCACTGCCACCACTCCAGCCTCTGCTCTCCCGCAACCATGCAGCCGTGCCACTGTGTCGCCCAAAGCCCTGGGCGGGGCTCTTTATACAGAGTCAGTAGCAGCACATTGCCCACCTGTGTGCAGTGAGCTAGCCAACCAGGGCCAGGGGAGAATCCTGGCCACAGGAACTTTCAATTTATCCACACTCCACCCCTCCAGGATTCTCTCCTCTCAATCTATGTGCCCTCAGTCCTCTGCAATGGCCCCTGTGCGAGGAAGCTGGAACACTATAACCAAACTTCATAATCTACTGACAATAAACAAATAACAAAAATGAAATAACCCTCAAGCCTGAGGAAATCCATTGCCACCAAGAGGTCATCCTGGCTGTATTCAAACCAGTTCTCCTCAAATGAGTTAACCAAGAGGACCGTGGGTGGGCCTTACAATACCCACCTTCCCCAGCCTCCCAACAGAAAGCCTTGCAGACACACAGGCCGATCTCGTTGCTTTGTCTCTGCCTCTGCTTCGTCCTCAGCAGCCAGAACCGCTGCTCCGGTCTCAGTTGTTGCCACAGCTCTGGTCATCCAGCTTCTTCCGTCTGCTCCTGCCTTTTCAAACCAACCCACATCTGGGTCCCATGACCTTCACGGGGCCCTTTAAATGCTTCCTTCGAGAAGCAGACCGTGTTTCCTTTTGTGCTGGAGCCTGAGGCAGAGCCCAGAGTGCCCCACAGCCTGGGGAGGGGGCTGCGCCTCTCCTGGAGGAACCTGCAGTTGTCGAGTCCTCTGGGCTTTTCACCAGCTTTCACCCAGGTGGGGTCTCAACCCAGGAGGGCTGATGCCTCCGGCACCGGGCAACCGCAGGCCCTCCACCCCCACCTGTTCGTCAGACCTCCGCTCCTCCATTTCTGGGGCTGACGGCCCCACCCCATCCTTCCCCTGCCCCACGGCCCCTTGCAGTCTGCGCTCCCGTGCCGCTGCTTCTCGGGCTGCTGCTCCTTCCCCTGCCCCACTGCACCCAGCAGCCTTCATGCTCTCCTGCCGCTGCTTCTCGGGCCTCTGCTCCTTCTTGTGCTGCCTCCTCTCGGCCCTTTGCTATTTCCACAGCACTTTGTAGTGACACCACCCCAGTCAGTAACAAATTTGCTTTCGCCTGGGGTGGACCCCAGTCCATCACCCCTTCCCAGTCCCACATGTCCACAGGGGGACACTCGAATGTCTCCCCATCCATAGGAGCAGCTGCTGAAACACTCCTTCCATGAGGTCAGTCTGTTCTTTTCCTTGGTCAAGAATAAATCCTGCTGACTACCCTCAATTGTCTTGCCAATGGACTTTAGCCCCGGGCCCAGGCAAGTCCACTAAGGATTCAATGAGACAGAGGAATGATAACGGAACATTCCTGGGGTGAAAGAGTTTATACCCAACTTTACTTCCATGGTGGCAGGGCCATCACTAAAATCCCATTCACTCAGAGCGAGTCTGCATGCGGCAAGCCAGTCTCTGCCTCTGGGCCTCT